ATTCCCACTTCAGGGATGCCTGCCTGCATCAGGTCCATTGCCATGCATGCCCACTTCATACCCTACCAGGCTGTAAGGAGTGGTAACCCCACCCTTTACTTTCTTATCTTATTGTTCATTTGTCTCACATTAAAAACATGTACAAACAATGTAATTACAATAATGTGGGAATTTGGGAAAAGGCAACAAAGCTTTTTTCCTCCCCATTGTTGAATAATCATAGCTCTATACAGCTTAATATTTGACAAACTGAGGACTGAGGCTAACTGGGGTTGGAACCTACACCAACCCCTTACATGGGCCCTCAGCACCAGGCAATATACCTGGGAGCTCTCAACCCCACACCAGTCCCTGACACCCACACTTGCATCGCCAGGGGCACCTTGGAGTTTGTCCAAGATTGGCAAGTGATATGTCAAGAATCTGGAGCACTGTAACTGGGCTCAAGGAGCACTTGGGTCTGACAAGAACGTGGGGGACTAGTGCTGGGATAGGGTCGGTGATGGGGGGTGGCAAGATGCCATGGTCCTGGTGCTGGGAACAATCAACAAAAATCTCTAAAAATAAACACCCACTCCTGGTCACTCTGGACAATCATCAGGAGTCTCAGGTGCCCTACTGGATGCACTCTGGCATAGCTAAGCTTCTAGGGAACACAAGACTCAAATTGGGAGGCCCCTTCTGAGGGGGGAAGTCCTCTGTATCATACAGGAATAATACTGGACTATATGAGAAAACCCATGCGCCCAGGAATGAATGATCCATGGGGCCACAGAATAGAAAAGAAAGTGATGGAAATAAACCCACATCAAAAGCAATATAGGTAATATAAAATGAATAAAGGGAATATGACCAAACCCAAACCACTACTCCTTGTCCTTCTCCCACCACTCCAACAAATCCTCCTAAATCGTAGCTTTCCGCCAATATCAATTTCATCCAAATCGGTGCAGTGGAAGCTGAGATATCGATTTCTGAACTTTATGCCAGGCACCAGGAAGGTGTCATATCCATCCACAGCCATCATCCTCCACTACCTCTGATCCTTCCAGACTACCTCCGCTCCTTCTTCACTAATCTTGGAGCCCCTGTATTCCACAATCACCTCTGACTCCCTCGATGGTCACCACCCCCTCTTTTTAATATATTACCTACACCTCCCTAAGTATGGAACCCTGAAGGTCTCCAGACAGCTCCAACGTCCACTAGCGCACTCCCGCCCCTGCTGGGCAATTCACTTGCTTGCCCTGCAAGTCTACCTTTGGGTCTATCCCTCCTTTCCGTTTCTGGGTTATAGCCTGCTACTCTGCTAACCCCATAACCTGACTCGTCAGTAATATTCAGTCAGCTAACATTTAACTCTGTTAGCTCCACTCCACTTGGTCCCACCATTCACAGGCCTGCCCTCACTGTAACTATATACACTTAACTTGTACATAGGTTACACCCTAGTGATAAAATCGACTAGAGTTGATCCCCCTTTTAGTTCTTGCTGCCAGTAAGTAAATTAGGGCATGGATGTGTAACTTGGCACAGCACTCCTGTTCTGAGTTGCTGAGGCTGAAGCCCTCCACCACAGAGACATCTCCTTCATCTCGCTTCTGGTCTCTAACAGAAGGTCACATGCTAGTGTGCAGATGTGGGAAATGCAGCGATATCGGGCTCTGAGGTCAGATTGGGCTGGGAAAAATATGGAAAAATGAGGGGTATGTAGGAAGTGTGTCGTATAGTGGGTGGAGGACTGGGGGGGAAGCCTGGGGTGTATGGTGTGTGTTCTACATGCTGAAATATGTAGAAACCATGTTTTTGTGGTGCACAGATTTATCCCGGTAACAGCACTCGACAAAATGTATGATGTTGATGGACTCGCACCAGAGCCTGTTCTGGGAGAATCCAACAGAGTTTGTGATGCAAAATCAAAATCAGATGTATTTGATGTTGGTTAAATGATATAATAGACAGAAATAGAAGCAAATCTCCCCAATGAAATGTAGGAAGAGCTACTGTGGTAAATGCAGCATGGATGTATCAGATGAATGGCAACTACTAATGGAAGAGTTTTTGCCTCTCCTCACTGACAAGGAGGGCCTCAGAATGGTGACCAAGTTTGTTGAGCGATTGTTCAAATCTCCAGAGAGCTCGAGCCAAATCCTGGGTGTATGAGGTCGGATGGACAGCAACTAGCTCACGCCAGAGTTTGACACTTTCTTCAATCACCAGGAGCGCTTTAGAGTACTGTCCAAGCTCAAGCAATGACCAGTTAAGACTGTGAAGCGCTCGAGCCAAATCCGGGGTGTATGAGGCCAGTTGAACAGCAACTAGCTCACGCCAGAGTTTGACACTTTCTTCAATCACTGGGAGCGCCTCAGAGTGCCGTCCAAGATTGGAGAATGATGTTCTAAGATTCAAGAGTGCTCGAGCCAAATCAGGGGTATATGAGGTTGGATGGACAGCAACCAGCTCGCGCCAGAGTTTGATGCTTTCTTCAATCACTAAGAGTGCCTCTGAATACAGTCCAAGGTTGGCGAGCGATACTTCAAAATTCCGGAGCGCTCGAGCCAAATCAGGGGTGTATGAGGTTGGTTGGACAGCAATGAGCTTGCGCCACAATTTGATGCTTTCCTCAATCACCGGGAGCGCGTCGGAGTACCGTCCAAGCTCAAGCAATGACCAGTTAAGATCATGAAGTGCTCGAGCCAAATCAGGGGTGTATGAGGTCGGATGGACAGCAACTAGCTTGTGCCAGAGTTTCACGCATTCCTCAATCACTGGGAGCGCCTCGGAGTACTGTCCGAGCTCAAGCAATGACCAGTTAAGATCCTGAAGCGCTCGAGCCAAATCACGGGTGTATGAGGTCGGATGGACCGCAACTAGCTCGCGCCAGAGTTTGACACTTTCTTTGATAACTGGGAGCGCTATGGAATGCTGTCCGAGATAGTTGAGTGATACCCCAAGACTATTGAGTGCTCGAGCCAAGTCAGGGGTGTATGAGGTCGGGTGGACGGCAACTAGCTTGCGCCAGAGTGTGATGCTTTCTTCGATCACTGATAGCGCCTCGGAATGCCGTCCAAGTTTGGTGAGCGATATTTGAAGACTCACGAGCGCTCGAGCCAAATCAGGGGCGTATGAAGTTGGATCGATGGCAACTACCTTGCGGAAGAGTTCGACACTTTCTTCATTTGCGGAGAATGACTCGGGATGCCACCCAAGGCGGGAAAATGATACACCTAGATATCCAAGTGACCGAGCCAAATTAGTAGTGTAGGAATCAGAGTCCGCGGACACAAGGCAACGACAGAGCCCAACAGCGTCATTTGCCAACTCATACGCCTCCTGAAATCTCAAAAAGAATGCAAGATTACTGTGCACATTTCCAAATACTTTGACCAGCATTTGAATGACTTCTTTTGAAGTTTGATCTACACTCAACTGAAGGAACATGCGACTGAATAAGAATGAGCTATGAATACTGTTGATAATCCATACCTTAGCCCACTCGGGGAATGATGATATACTAATATACCCGCCTGTCCTCACACAGACTTCCACCCAGTGCACCACTTGCTGATTGAGGAATGCGTGAAACGACCCATTGAGCACTTCCAGTGGCTCCTGAACCTGATTGAGGTGATGCACGATATACCGACATGCATAATACAGCTGTTCCGACAGCGTCCCTTCCGCAATAGGCGGTAGCTGAGCCTCTTTCGACAAACCCTCCTCAATCAACCCCAAACTTTCCACAGAGGAAAGATCTTTGTTCAGGATATCGATACAGCGGAGAGCCACATTGGCATTCTCCCTCCTCACATCCACTGCAAACCGATGAAGTGTTGGTGATTGTGGGCCGACTCGCTCTGTGAGAAAATCGCGGAAGGACTGATGTAACACACGAATCGGTATGTGAGAATCACCAACTCCCGAGACGAGCGGAGAGAGTTCTTCTAACGTATAGTGGACAGGAGACCTCAGGTGTGGTGACAGGATCGCATCCCAAGCCGCTACGGATAATGGCTGTTGCGCGATTAGGATCGCGCCCATCACAATCGGATAGTCGTGCATAAAATCGTTGTTCCCCCAGTCACACTTCTCCAAAACTCTTGTATACAGCCTATCCATCTCACCCTCAGCGGGAGCCTTCGATCGATTCGCACCAGTATCGAGAAGCTCCTCCAGCATCCTCATAGGAGGACGACGGGTGTGCTGCATATAGCGGAACACAGTACTAATCCAAATGAACAACCCACCCGCTCGTCCCAGCATGTCTTGGACCAATTTATCCTCGTCATCGAGTTCGCCTTTCAAATGGGGATGCATATTCTTCAGCTCACGTAGCTGCATACGGATGTAGATATCGCAGTCCCGAACGTTGGCATCATCCGAGAGATTAATGCTGAGCCGATCAATGACGGAATAATTCGAGAGACAGGGACCAAGAAGGCCAAATTGCCTTGAGGTGACAAGGAATTTAATGTTTGAGGGCAACTTGGGGACCTGTTCCCAAAGTATTTTGGCAAGATACTTGAATGCTTGTTCATCGCATTCATCCAAGGCATCAATAATGACCATCCCAGGGCTATCGGAAGGTGGTGCCTTCAGACGGAAAGGCTCCGCCACTAATTTCTCGAATTGCATCGGGAAGGAGGCAGTGGCGAGAGTCGGGTCTTTCTGGATAGTGGATATGAGATAGGAACGATACGTCGGGTCATGCGTTGCAAGGGATCGGGCCATTCCGCTGAACAAATGATCTGGGCGCGATTGCTCTCCGGCTTTGAAGAAGAAACTGAGCAGCAACATCCCTCCTTTGCTGCACTCCTCAGCGATCGAGTGAGCAAGAGATGTCTTGCCGGCGCCGGCCACGGCCGTCACCAGTAGGACACGATTCTCGCTATTCCCCGTGTTACGACACCAGGTCATAATGTCCTCAATCAAGCCAGTCCTCGTGCCTTCCAAACATGCCAGGGTTAAATCGTGATGGGCGACAGCAGGGTATCGGAGTTTGTCTAGAACTAAGGAATTCTCGATTTCACGATTTAATCGATCTTGATTATTTCCTAGTTCCAAGTTCGTCCCCAGCTGCGCAGTTAGGATAATGAGATCGAAGTAGTAACATAACCGTGAGGGCCAAGCGTAATTACCTGAAATAATGCTAAGGCTTCGTCAAGATTTCGTTTTAAATCGTCAATTCTGCCAGGCTTCTTCATATGAGAGAAAAAATTGCGGATGCCTGGCCGCCTTTCCATCTTTTCACTCAGCCTGCCGATTTCGGTTTGAATGCGCTGCAGCGCCCTTTGAAACACCTATGTTATACGACGGCGAGAACTGAGAGCAAATGCTACTTACTGATTTAGCTTTCTAATGTTCCCCACCCACGCACCTTTGCTGGATGCATCATATGAGTCAAGGGCCGCGACCACACGGGCCGTTGCGTCTACGACATATCTCCCGAAACGCTCCCATTCCTCCTTACTCTCTTTGAACTTCTACACATTCCAAACCGTCAAATTTCGTCCCAAACTCGGTTTAAATCGCTACGAACTTTGACCTCATCGAGGATAAAGAGTGCTGCCCCGGTGGAAGCCTGTAAGGGAGGGAGCACACCTGACGCGACATTGACCGCAGTGAGAACTGGAACCGCGACGTCACCTCCCGCTGCAATGATGTCATGGAGCCTTTGCTTCAGAGACATGGTGGATGACGGGCGAATCGATGCACACGAGATCACAGCCCAATCTACCCCATTATGGGAATGTACGGCGTTACCGCTTACATAACTGACAATCGAGTTCGTCAGCTAGTGACCCAGTGAGTTCCAGCCTTCGTGCTCGATTGTCGGCACCGCCCGACGTGAAGAAGTCCTGCCATCAATCCTTGCAGAACCGGCTGTTCGCAACTATCTATTCCTCTACCATCTCAGATGAGGCTTGGTATAAAATTCAGTAATAGGAATACTAGCGCCTTAGGCCAGGGCGAAGTTTGGCCCATGCAGTGATTTCCCTGTGTCATCCAGCTTCTAGTTCATGAAGACCGATTTTCGGTTATCGGCTACCCGCTTACATGCGATTGCAATGGCCAAGCGTGACCTCCACTAAGCACTAATTGGTACTATCAGTCGTGCAAGGCTAAAGATTTTTTATTGGCGTATAGGCCACGCGGTAGAACGTTGGCTTGAATGTCAATACCCGCCTTCAGATTCATCGATCCCTTCGGTAACAGCGCTTTATATTCCACCCGTAACGTCATCAATCTTAGTGTCACCTACTCATCCCACCGACCATTTCTCCACGGGTACCCAGGGAATGTGCCAATACTTAACGCCCACAAAGTTTTAAACGAATACTGTCATGTCAGCTTACGCTCGCGTCTCGGTTTGCTACTTTTTCTGGGATGGCCTGAGCAGGGAATGCACTGACTGGATGGATACACTTAGAACCTTCACCTTGCGGGGTCTCTGGATTTGATGGTTCATTCCTTCATGTTGGATTGGCCTGCCAACACAGCCCGAAGCCTAAAACGTGTTCTTATTTCTTAATGGGCGCGAATACATCGCTTGAGTTCACTCCCTCCAGGCTAGACGTCAACATCTTATGTATGGAATGCGCGTGTGGTGATCTGTGAGTGCTAATGACGCGGTGCCAGTAACGGGAGCAAACGTGGGGGGCAGCGGATGGTGAGATTCGGCACTTGCTACCACGACCAACTTACTTGGACATCTCTCCGTGACCCGAACCAAGTAGCCAAGAAGGTCAGGAATGGCGCCTCGAAATCGGTGAATGGATTTAGGTGTGTGCTCTTTGGTCAAGGCTCCAATATAGGCTGCGAACAAGTCAGTTGCAAGTATGAGGCGACGAGCGACATTCGAGAGAGCGGGACCGGTCAAATAATCGAACTGAATCGGTCAATGCTCTGGACTCCCCTGTTCGCTTCAACTCTGTTTGGCATTTCCCTGCATTCGAATCGAATCTTGGCGTCGTCCAAGGATCTCATCCCTCTCTAAATGCCCCCTCATACCTTGATGTTTAACATGCAATTGCGACGGCCAAGCATGACCTGTAATCTCACTCCGCTAACCGCGAACTGAAGTCGACAACTTATAGTTTGTTTCAACTTCAGTGGTTTGCTCCGGTTTTTTCGCATGGACTTTCATTAGAATCTCCCTGATCTCCTGGCTATTGCTTTCGGGAAATGAGTGTATCCTACTACCGTAAAATCGAAAGACCGACCCCCCTTGGGAGATGCCATCTGAGGTGAGGCAGCGCTTGAGAGTATATATCAAGACTGAATTGATCCAATGGCAATTGTTCCAATGCGCATCGGCACGAACCCTCTTCAAAACTCAGTTGTCTGCAAGGTGCAATGATGTTTGTGACGTTGACACTGCATTAGAACTTTGACAACTCATCTCCTCTCCCTGTTACACTTAAAGCGGCGGACGACTGGCGATTCTCTTTTGGCCTGCTGGTAGTGCCTTCCGTACGCCTCAGAAGAATGGCGGGAACATGCGCACATGTCGGGATGAAGTGGGGATTGGCCCCGTGGGTTTTCAATGGACTAGCCTCTCGTATCTTCCGCGGCAACCGGCCAATATATTAATGTGAACGATTAGGGTAGTCAAGACTAGGTATTCGGAACAGCGGCAGCATGAAGGCCAGGTAAAGGCGCGCCAAGCGCATACAGTGTCCAGGCTGACAAAGGTTCCGGAGAAAACTCCGGAGCGACCATGAATAATGGCAACTTATTTCACTGAATTGATTGTGGCACTCCGAAATGAATGTAAGTGACTTCAAGAATGGCTAAGCTTTCTCCTTTTTGTAATAAAGATCTCTATTCCGTGTATTCTTCCTACGCCAACGTCTTGATATCGTCGTCTCCTTGTTTTCCTGGGCAAAAGGACTCTGTCGCGTCACTACATACGATTTGAATCGTTGGAGTGCGTGCCTGGCCTTGGAATGTTACTTGGCCGTCAGGTGTGAGTGCCTAGGCTAAGCTAGCGAAGTTGGAACCGCGTACATGAATGTAGTTGGATATGAAGGAAACAAAGCGAATTATACTTTTATCCAGTAAGTAAATAGGCCAGCCACATGAGTGGCGTTGAATCGGGGGGTCATGGCTTGGCTACGAGAGTGCATGAGGGATTAGGGTAAAGTACTCCCAAGCGGTCTTGGCTCCGGATGATTAGCGGGCCAATATAGTACTAAGAACCATTAATGGTGCGAAACCTGGTGTGAATAACGTCGGGTGAGCGTTGACTAGTGTACCGGCGCGGGAGTGTTGGAGCTATCGACCCAAATCGGGGGCAAATGAATGACAACCAGCTGGCGCCACAATCCGAAGACCCCGTCACAGAAGCCGCACACCAGCAACTATATTATGTATTGACGATCCCCTCACCTATGCCATGGTGTAATCGGGATATTAGCCGCACTTGCCACGACATATCGAGGCTGCGGGGTAACAAGTTTGAACTACCACCAACCAGAGCCTGAGACTTTCTTCATCCATGAGCGCCAAAAAGAATCCCAGCCAGATCTGGGGCGCATGATGTTGGAAGGACGAAAGCCAGCTCACAGAACAGTGTTCTGTCGGAACACCTGAATCCCATGCCAGTAACGGGGTTGGCCGAGTTCATCGCACAGCCTCAGGGTCCGCTCCCACACGGGGAGCGTTCAGTAGAGCATCTACATAGGGCGTGTTACACACGAAGCCGTTTGAATGAGATACCGCGTCTCGTTCAAATGCGCATGCCCGCATCCGAATTCATTCTCATTCCGAATTTGCTCCGTAACGAACAGCCTGGAGGCACCTCATGAGACCTCACTTCGCTTCGTTGATTCATCTGCCCGCCGAAAGAATCAGCTCTGTTCCTCGCTCAAAACCAGTTCCGGTCTATTGAACTTGTTACCTGTACGTTTTAATCGGGAGAGTTGGTCCAGTTTGGGACTCGTTTGTCAGACAGACTCCTTAGTACAATGAGACTGCCTCAACCAATTGTAGTGTCCGAGAACGGGCTGAATATGATCGAATCTGATTTTTTGGGACTCCTTAAGAACGTTCTTCAATGCGGACGCTTCTCTCCGTATTCGGCGAGGCGCTGTGCTCTCTAGCTATTGCTTTATTTTCTCCTCCCGACCTCCATAACCTCCTCTCTCACTCTCTCTCCCTCGCTGGCTCTATCACTGTGCCTGACATAGGAGAAGGTAGACACAGCGATGCCAAGGCTCTTATCTTTTCCCTGGGCGCAAAGTGTCCTTCTTTTCTTGCTCTGCGCTCGGATTAGTCTGGCATGTACTATGGACGTCCCGATGGAGATTACGAGTGGAGTTCCGTTCCAAGTGTCTTGGGCGGCCTGTGAGGTAGGCTCTATATATTGATCCCAGATCCCCCAGCTAGGGGTCGAGTTCAACTGACCCCCAACTCAAACCATTATGTACTTTTTGTATGGGCGCAATTTGCTACCTCTCGACTCACTGGTGGCGGTGGCCGGACAAAACACACGACTATGCTCTTTTTGGTTTGGTTTGGTTCGGTTCGGTTGCAGACACCCGTCACGGTCAAAGTTTGGGATCAGAATAACAATCTCTTGAAGAGTGCTACACTCTCCGAGTCCAGTTTCACATAGTACGCCGATCGTCGCTCCCCCCCGGTTGCCTTTCCGTCCACCCAGTGGCACCGCAACCAAAAAACGTCCTAACTCACATTGCTTTCGCGGTCGCTCGCACTTGGTGCAGCACTGTCACTACTAGTGCGGTGTCCTTCTCCGTAACAGATGCTACCGGGCTCGAAGTGACAACTATCCCACTTGTAGTCAACGTTCGTAAGCTTTACACACTCCTTCCTGTTTTCCCAACGCCACTCCACTCACAACTGTTGCCTCCAAACCTTTATGCGTGTACAACAGCCAAATCCAAGCTCATCACTAACATCGCACTCGGTTAGCTCGGTTAGCATTTAAAACTTTTGGCGAAGAGTTTCGATGGAGTTTACATCGTTAGACTTTTTCTTTTCACTTTCAATAGTCTGTGAGCAGTCATACGACGTCATCGGATGACACGACAACGACGACAACGACGGCGAGCACAAGCTCATCGCCTACATCCACAAACTCTCTTCCTTCCAGCACTGGCTCTTCAACGACTTCCGATGATTTCCCCACTCCCTTCCTTCGCCCCCACTCTCACCCTCGACCTCCCCCTATTCCCATAGGACTTATGGTGGTTGCTATTGCCATGGGGGTCGTTGGCGTACTCGTGGTGGTAATCCTCATTCCCCTTCTTATTAATTTGTGGCTTACAGGTCGTGGGCCGAGAGGGGGACCTAAATATGACAAGGTGAAAGGGGATGAGGAGCAAGCGCCGGGGGAAGTGCGAGAGGAATCGCGAGGGGAAGTGCAGGATAGAGCGCAGGACAGAACGCAAGAGGGTGGGCAAGAGGATGTACAAAAGGGAGGGGAAAGAGAAGCGCAAGAGGGAACGCAAGAGGGAGGCCTATTGGGAAGGCAAGAAGGAACGCAAGAAGGAACGCAAGAGGGGGGGCAAGCGGGAGGGCAAGAGGGAACGCAGGAGGGAATACAACAGGAGCGTGGGAGGGAGGGGCACGTAGATTAACAGAGGGATAAGGAAATGATGTACCTGTGTGTTGGAGGGGGGAGGGAAGGCTTATTCATGTGTTTGCTTGGGCGATCCAATGTTTACCTACTTCTTCCGGGGATTGGTATTTTGGACCTTTTATTTTTTTTTTTGCTTTCTTAGCTACAACTACAGCATGTACAAACGAATTACGAAGAAACAATTGTCAAATAAAACGCTTCAATGAGATCAAACTTCAAACCCACTTCCGCGAAACCGTGGGGGGGGGGGGGGGGGGGTGATTAATTTGACCCGTATTTGAAGTGTACGTGTGGACCACTGTGGCTAGTCGAAAGTGTGCAAAGTTGGCCAGGTGCTAGTCAGATCCTGCTGGAGGAGCCCCTGTAGTGTTGGGGATATCTGTCCATATCAGTCAAGGTGCACATTGACACCACGCGCGCTGTAAGTCGATCGCAATGGTCTTATCAATCACTAGCTAGATCCGACGCGACTCGGAAAATATTCCCCCAAGGATCAACAATAGCCCCGCAAGTAATAAAGAAGAAGAGGTTTGCGTGAACATCTGATCCCACGCATCTCTTCGATCTATTGTCATATATTGAGGGTGGGGGACCCTTCGATCGCAGAGAAGAACGTAGCTACTATCGCCGCTGCGCAAGTTGTGGCCCAAATGAACGTGTTTGCCATTCAAATCCCTTCACTATTGGGTAGCCTAAACTTTTTACCAACTCTCATATCCCGATCGTACTATGTACCGGCACGATTCTACGAACGATTTGCGCATCGCTAGCTGTGCCGACTCCAACTGCGTTTTTGCTGCCATCACAGCTAGCTCTCTTTCTAAGCTTGCGCGCAACTTTAAAGAGCGCAGAACCATTAAAAATCATGTTGGGTAATTCGGTTCCAAGATTTCAATGAAGCCACAAGGGATTTCGATTCTCCTGGCTTGTATCAGTGATGTGCCTGAGTGACGAAGTCCCAAAAGCGCCTAGAGAACGAGGGTGATGTTGTCAATGCAAAGGACATCCCAGATATCGGGTTTTGTTCCACGTTGTACACTGGGTGTGTGCCAATCATGGTGTTTTCCTGCCCGCTGCGCTGTACGTCTGCTTCGAGCTATTCTCAATCTCCTTGTATGTTTTTTTCCCGTCGAGCGATTTGCCTTTTTGTCGCTTTGTTCTCAGCAGTGTCATACCATATTAATTTACTTCATCCTTGAGGTAATCTCTTGGCCCCAGGTCGACCCTATCAATACGGTCGAAGTGTATGTGATGAATGGCAGGGGATATTCTCCCAAGGCTATTAGCGATCTCGACGCAAATGGCGAACTTGGAGTCGAGTTAAGGTAGACGCCTGGTTCATTGTTTCAAAAAAAAGCACTTACGAGGACTATAACGCCCACAGCAATCACTCCGTTCGAGAAGCGGGACGCGACATAGATAAAGAACCCTACGATGAATAAGTAAAATCCGCTAAGCAGAGGTCAGAATATGAATAAATTCGCACAGCCCAAGCTATATCACTTACCAAACAACTAGGGTGAAGCAGCGGCTAAATGAAAAGGCTTTGATACAGTCGAACACATTTGGCTTAGCTGCGACGGTAGCTTCGACTGGGGAAGGGACATCAACACGGACATCACCCGTAAGGTATAAATATCGATGTATGACCAGTCGAAGTGCGTCGCGGTGCGCAAAGCTGGTAAGATGATGTTCAGGTCCTGCTGTAGGAGCTGAATTTTAGAGGACATGCACGTACGTCAGCCAGTGTGCACGCCGGCAAGCTGTAAGCAAGACGATACTATCGATCGCTAGACCGGACACCGAGTTAGAGGGATAATACCGTTTAGGCACGCCACTGTAGATAACAGCATAGCAGCCATTATTGGTGCATTGAACAGGCTGTAGATGGCAGAATTTTTTCTATCATCAGCGAGCGTGATCGCTAATACTTGAGCCTCGACTGCAGTGAGGAGCGTGGCTATTAGCGCCACTGTGTTACTATCTGGGACAAAAATAAACAACAAAGGATGGTTCGCAACGCAACTACTAACCGTCGTAGAGTCTCCTCCACACCTCTTCAAACCTGTCATCGATAATCTCCCTGATCGAGCGAGGAGGAGAGATGGGGTTCGATTCATCAATAATTGGCGTTTGAGACATTCAAGTGAGGGAAAAGGAATACGGTTGACTTTGGCTGCTGAGTTCATATATGAGATTCTGCTAATCCCGAGTGTATACTGTGTGTCCAGTGTTCGAGTGATTACTTAAACACACCAGAATTGTTGGAACGTTGCGTACTATATGGACGTACCATAAATTAAACTGCTCGCGTTGCTTCGCCTAATACTAATAGCATGGAACTTTTTGATTCTGTTACGTGGCCGGAGTTTCCATCAGAACGACGGGAAAAACAGAAGACATGAAATGGCGGATAAAAATATATGAACGAAGCTCAATACTCAAATCCAGGGACCGCAAGAACCCGAGAGTAGTAATGAACCGATAATATCACTTCCTACAAACTTCAAACCAGAGTACGCAGCTAGGACAGGACAACACTGAAGCATCGAGAAGAATGGACAGAGAGGAGGGGGGTTGTGATCATCCGAGGGAAGGCGCGGTCAGCGATTTCCTTCAATTTCTGAATTCCGACAACTCCTCGCCGAGCTTAGAAGGGAGGTTCCAAAAGGGACAATATTTTGGACGCAACCGTACCTGGACAGCATGCGTAATGGTTTTTTGGTCCAGTCTTGACTAGAAGGATGAGGGGAAAGAACTCTTGATTATCCTCTGGAGCCGGCGCCTGAGATATCAGAATACTGGTTCGCGCAATGCAGTCGTTCTATTAAGGAATAGACAGGAATGCTACCGTGTAGGTGGGACGCAGGGTCTTGCAGCACAGGTCTTATTCCATCCACGGAGTTGAGCGAAACGACGTGAGTAAGAGCTTTCGAAATTAGCGTGAAGACTATCCCGGACTTGGAGCTGCGAAGGAGGTTTATCCTTGACGTGGGTTCCCAGCATCCCAGAGCGCTGGCTTAAGTGCAGTGGACAATGAATTGCTCCCTCTGGAGAACAAACGAGCATCAGGAGATTCGCTAGTGAAAACTCAACCGTCAAGATCTAGAGCGTGTTGATATCACTAAATATTGACCCGTTTGACCACCTTCATCCCCGTGAGAACCAATTCAATCGTGGGGTATGCATGTCCCCGAAACGGGCTCTCGGCCAAAGCCGGGCCAGCCGTTTCATTCACAAACCGTGAACGTCGTTGTAGGTAAGGCGCGTCGATCGACGTCCTCAACATCAGGATAACCGTACGTTGCACTACAGACCCGTCCTCTATTCCTTGGGTGTTCTACTTCCTATTTATTGCCATAAGTGGCATATTCGGTAAGCTCGAAATCCGTCGTTGGCATCATTCCCAGCCCTGCACCTAACAGAATGCACTACGTTCGCCTCCAATCTCGTTATAGATATCATTAAAAAGGACCACTTTTGTATTTAACTGAAATCCACTGGAGGTGCTTAGTGCGTTGCTAGTGCACCACGGTTAACGACAGGGATCCCCCCAATCAACCCAGCCCTCTGAGTACACCGTCTACGTAGAGTAACGGTTTCTCCAGGCCATTCTGTATATTCTGCGCGAGGATTTGGGGCTTGTCCGTGGAGACACCTGCAGAGGGCCGGAGGTTGCACCTAGCACCGCTGGTACTCGCGGTTGTTTGGTTCGTCTGGGCCACCCGCCGCAAAAACCGATCCCCCGCTCCGATTTCGTGCCATACATCGACAGCTATACACCTTCCTAGGCCCCCATCAAAATCTTTTACCCAAACGGTCGCACCGACACGCAATTCCCCTCCCTGCTTGCTTGCACACCGACCCTCAGATCTCGCTGTTTGCGCTTATACACCCTAAAACGCTCTGTGTGTCGTCTTTTGTTATCGAACGGGTGCAAAAGATCTCAGCGAGCAGAACCGTTGGGTGTTTCGCCACGATCCTCTACACCCTC